ACCCATTAGTGCTGGGTGGACTCAGAAAAGTACTGCAGTCAAGAACCCGGACAGCGATCCGAACTCGAGAGGTCTGCGACTCGCGAGGGTACTGTTAGGTTAAATAATTAGGTCATGTTTTCGGTTAGAGTAAAGTATGGAAATTGAAACAGTGTAGTTATGCTTGCAATAGAAACTCACTACATCATACTTTAGCGTGCTGTAACCTTTTGTTTAGTGTAAAAAAAAAAACAACATTCGGTTGGATTTATTGGGGGAAAAATACTGATCACATTTATACTTATGTATGAGGGGCAAGAATAGGGATGTGCATGTGTGTGGGGGGGGGGGGGTGACAAGATCCTAATTACATCTTGCGCTCACTAACTTAAAACAAATGCTGTACTAACGTATTGCGAAAGACGTATTGCTCTTGTTTGCTTTTTTTTATTTTAAATCAATTTTTATGTTTTTTATGCCCACGTTACTTTAACATTTAGACTTTAATATGAACGTAATTTGCATATTAGCTCACCCCCCCCCCCCCACCTTCCACACACACGCCTCGTTACACAGACGACAACAACTGCAACACGACTACCAACGTTACACCATGGCGAGATGAACACATGCGATGTGAGTGTGTGCCATGTGTGGTCAACTCTCATTGGTCAGTAGAGCTAGACAGCTTTGATTAGAAACTACACGTAGTCGCCCTAGCCATAATTTGTACCAGAATTGGTCATGGACCTACATATAACAAACAAAAGATATAGTAGCCTATATTTATCTTAAGCTGTAGTTTAGTTTTGATGATACAAATAAAATTAGCATTTAAGCTGGGTATCCAAAGAGTCGCATTTATTCAACCTAACACTCACGTATTCCATAGCAATGTAAAGTAAAGTTCCCTTTTCAAACCATACGGTCTATAGGGCAAGTGAAGTAGAGTTCACTTGTTTCTGTGACCTCGGTGTATGAAGAGATAGTAGTGAGCACTATGCCCAGCCGCCTTTACTTTCCCTAACGCGAGTTAGCATCGGATTTGGGTGGACTCAGGGACGGTCTACTGACTTAACCCGGATTCGAACACGAGACTTACGGGTTTAGGTCCAGCTCTCTACCGCTAGACCACTCCGTCCATAGCAATGTATAACCTCTATCAATATCTTGTATACCAATCTATGCCCGTACAAATGTACCCAAACTTCTATCAAAACTTCTGTACCCGAATCTCAAACATGTTGATTTAAAAGTCGTCTCATCACTAGACTAGAGATTTTAAGAATACTCTTGTATGGCTAGATTATAAACCCGACACCATCATATCGTCATACAGACTCTCATTAACCAACTCTCCAGTTAAAGCTGTTATTTTATTAAAAACAAAAACCATTGGCGTTGACTGTGAGTAGTGGTTCATGTTAGCACTCATCCCCGGCTCAAATATCAGTTTATAGAACACGATACCAATAAAATGAACACGATATTGATCTGATATGAAGAAAAAACTGTTCTAGGTTACTCGATACTGATGTAATGAACACGATATTGATCGAATACGATACTAACTATTGAATATAATTTCTATTCAGTCCGATGCTGGTGTACAGAACATACCAATCCATATAACATAACCCTCTTTCTATGCACTGTTATTGATTTCAGTGGGTTTAAGTTGTCGCTTATGGTAGTGGTGGTGTGCTAACTAGCGCCAGCTTGTGAATCAATCAACATATTTTTGTTTCAATACTCTAGCCTTGACCGGCGTTGGAGGTCAGAGGTCAGTGCACACTGCACCCTGCGGCCAGTCCCCCGCTACCGTTTGAGAGCCTGTGTATGTTGTGTTTTTCAGACAAACATGTTCGTTTAGTCTCGGATACACATCTAGCCACTCGGCCTCAGCCTCGGTACACGGCGCAGCCGCGGTGACCTACTTAGCACGCTTGGCTGCTCACAACCCATCCTAACGTCGCGACTCGTAGCACTCACTCGTCTCGCCCTACCCCCGCGGTACACGGCAGTGTGAAGACTTGCTCGTTAACACGACGACACATCGTCTGGTAAGACCAGAGTTCAGAGGTCAGATAACAAACTCTCAAGGGAATGTCCTCTACTGCTGTTAGTAAACTTCAGCACCATATACACAATACTCGGTGTATTTCTAGTCAGTACCTGGCGCATCAGATCATTAAAAGACCCGTGTTGTTGCTGATCAATACGACGTTTACCTCTCTATCAATGCTAACTCGAATCGTCCGTTGAACACGCATGACCTGATCGATGGCAGATTGACGTTTAACGGCGCGGCAACACGGCGAGGCTGCGGCCAGGCATCCGTGGTTTGGCCTCAAGTGAAATACCTGGTAGACCCGTGTGTACCGACACCTGAACATTTCACGTTCAAGTTGAACGGCCATGTTCATATGAATCATGTCGTGAGGCAATATTTAGGTAAACTTTAAAGAGAAGTTCGTGTTTTACTCCTCTTTGTCTAGATTTTCATAAAGAAAGCTATCGCCTAAGTCCTAGTCGCTAAATGACATGAGATACCGTCCCCGTGTATTACATACAATGTATAATAAGGGAAATAGTTATTAAAGATGAATTTTCAAGAAATCTATTTTAAAGACAAATATTTATTAACCTTTCATAAATATAGGCCTAATCATTATGTGTTGGTTAGCTTTAGGATTTAGCGTATACAGTTAAAAGATTGTAGAAATCACCAATATCATAAGCAGTTTTATAAAACGCGATGTAGGATTAAATTACAAAAAATTAGATTTATTTTGAAGTTTTTTAAAATCTAACAATAAGGTATTTTTTATTTTATTTTTTAGGTTACTGTGGGAGAAAAAAAATAACACAGACTTTTAAAATAAACTAAACTAGGCGGGGGGCTATTTGAATTTAAAGCAATTCATTTCAGTTACCGTCCTTGTATCTAAATACTTGTCCTAGTATCTAAATACTAAAGCCCAGCGATACGACACCATTTCTCGCGTCGTCCGGCCCTCGGTTCCCTCCAACCCACGACTGCTTCATTTTTCTTCACACCCGTTCGCCACCTCTGATAGCAAGCGAGGCACCGAGGGGCGATCGAGAGCGGGGCACTAGCGAGAGAGAGAAGGCGCGTCGCATCACTTCGTTTTGAAATTGAGCGTTTTGGGTTATAGAGTAATGGTAGCAGACGAGAGTGCTTCCGAGTGTAGCAGAGGCAGAAGCGACAGCGGCGTGAAAGCGCAATCGTCTGCTGTTTGTGGATATCTCGGCAGAAGCAAGCGGCCCGTGTTATGGTTTGGAGTGTTGAATCAACGCACAGAAGTGATGCTAGTGTTGTTGATGTAGGGCGCTCCACAGTACTAAAAGTTTGGTAGCGAGTGTTGAAGCACATTTGGATTTAACTAAACACTTGGCGGTTTATTGTGTTCTAAAACTACGGACTGTTTTTTTTTGTGTGTGTTGGATATACTGTTACTTTCATTACTTCTGTAACGGATTAAACTCACGGTAAGCTGACACGAGTAGTAACACCACACTGGCAGTAGTGAGTAGTGTAGTATGATTTATAACCTAGTTCTAGTTGTAATAATTTGTTAGATTAGTTGCAATTATTTACATTTAGATTGCTAACACAAAAACAGTAGATCTAGTAAAATCTAGATCTAGATCTAGGTCTAGTTGTAAATGTTAAAAAAATAAAACATAACAGCCTAGTAAATTAAACATAGATATAGAATATAGATCTAGATCTAGATTCTAGATCCTAGATCTAGATCTAGATCTAATTCTAGAATCGAAGAAAAATAAAACAGTCGACGCGTATGGCTTGAATTTTGTACTATTTTCTAGATCTAGATCTAGTAGATCTAGTAATTAAATTAATGCTTACTAGTCTAACTAACAAACGTCAAATTAGATCTAGACTAGATCTATATTCGAATTCGGTATAAAGAGTCTATCGTCTACTAATTATTAAGTTAGAACCATTTATTGTTATTCCATTTTTTATTTTATCATATATTTTATCATTAGTAGATTTAGAAGAAAAAGTGGGGCTCAACAATTATCATTATTGACATACACGCGGACTCCCGGTCAAATGACAAATCAGTCAGATGACAAACCGGTCTAATGACAAATCAGTCAGGTGACAAATATTGGCTTGACTGTTAGCAAAAAGGTTCTAATGTTTTTGTTTTTCTCGTTTTTCAACTCGGCAGAAGTAAAAAAATATTATTTTTTAAATCCTCGACTATGCTAAAACAACTCAAACATTGACTAACAGTAACATCGCATCAATAAATAATTTAATTAACTAATGATCATGTGTCAGTACTAGGCTGGGTCTAACGCTGGGTGCCGAGGAATTCTCGTTAACCCTAAAATATTTTCACCAAGTCCACCAGCGGGTCACCGTGTTACAGTCTGATTGCCTGGTATCAACTTGACCGGCCGGCCCCTAGCAGGGAAATGACTAACGCAAGTTGATACGCCGAATCGCCGATATCGAAACTTGACCCAAACCTCACTCAAACCCTAACCACCAACCAACATTCTAAAAAATCTAGATATAAACAAGAATAACAGTCGTTTCTTCGTCCCGGATTTAACAATAGGTTAGGGTTAAATTATTTATAAGATCTAGTCAGTGGTAATAATTCTTTACAAATAGCACGAAGAAACGTCTTTGCTACTAGAATGTATACCAACTCGAAATAAAAAATAAACTAAAATTAAGTACTGATCTAAATTCATAATTGAAGAGCGGCTATGTCTGATTTAAATTACCATATTACTATTTTTATACAAAAGCAAGACTTATTTCTATGGTAGATTCCCAAGCCAATATTACAATTTTTTTAGCCGGCAACGCAATCTGTCCCCACGTTTGATCATGTTTGATGGACATAATTTTATCGAAATGGTGCTAGTTTACAAATTATCTCAGTACAATTTAGTAGGCATACACAATATATTAACACAATGTTCTTTACTTGCAGTAATAGGCGCTGATCAGGTTCGGATCTAAGTCAGACGAACAGAACTGAAACGTTAAATCAAGTGGATGTGTGACAGTTGGGAACATTCGTGGATTAACGTTGTGTGTGTTTAACTTGTGGTAGTACAGAACTTTTGTTCAACTTTTTTATGGATTAGGTCTTTATCCATTTGGATTTCATGGATTAAATACTGAAATATTCTGGATTAAAAATTCGTTTGGATTAAAACAATTGTTTTGTGCCCTGTCGAGAACGATTGGATTATTTGTGTGTGTAGTGCTATTTGCAAAACTTTTGGATTATATAGCAAACACTTACAGGTAAGGTTGTGACATTTTTTCTTTCATTTTTCAATTTAAAAAATATATATTTCGTACAGTAGCCAAATCCTCATAATAATCGAGGTACCTCAGAGAACGATACTTTAACAACGATACTTTAACTCTCGCTTAGGCTTAGGTTAAGACTTAGACGTGGGAATAAAATATCGATTATGGCGATAAAAAAGTTATTCATGGTGTTATGCCGGTTATAGTAAAGTCGACATAACGTTGTTGATGAAAAGTGGTCTGTTTTGTATAAAGATTTGAGTACGTGTAAAGTGTAAAGTGAAGTATTTACAAGGTTAATAGTGCTATAATAGTATATCATTCTACACATAATAAGTGTACCGAGTCTTGCAATGGCAACTAAGAAATCACATAACCGCTGTGACTAAAGTACTAAAATTATTGATCTGTACAGCCGATCCTATCTACCTATTAGCGACTTAAGGGTCTATAGACTATACGGATCTAAAAGTAATACTAATAGAGTGTTAACATTACAGTATAGGCCTATCCTATAGTAGCACGTTTACACACATACTACTTCTATCCTAATTTAGACTATATATTTTTATTTAGGCCTAAACCGAATGATTATGAATAGCGCTCTCGTAAATGTAAAGATGAAAACGAAAAAAACCGAGCTTAGCCGAGGGCAAGTTTATATAGAAGTTAAACATATACATCAGACTGGCTTAAAGTAGAGGTGGGCAGATGTAATCTTATAGATATAAAAAAAAAACAACAAAACAACATAACAGTTATCAACTGGTGCATAATTCTTGAAATGTCACCACAGTCCACGGCCCGTAACTCAATAATACTTCACCAAATTATTGAATACCGTGGCGTTCTGGTGGCGCCCGGACTTCGTGCTGGCGTCCCCGTTGTGGGAATTAGTAGCGGCGTGTCGTCCTCATTTGTTGATACGTGTCTGTGTTTGGTGTGTCGTCCTCATTTGTTAATACTTGTCTGTGTGTGTCGTCCTCATTTGTTAATACTTGTCTGTGTGTGTCGTCCTCATTTGTTAATACTTGTCTGTGTGTGTCGTCCTGATTTGTTAATACTTGTCTGTATTTGGTGTGTCGTCCTCATTTGTATTTGGTGTGTCGTCCTCATTTGTTAATACTTGTCTGTATTAGGCGTGTCGTCCTCATAAGTTGGTCTTCTCGTTTTCGCTGATAGACCGAGGAAGATATCCATACATTTTTAGTCAGGCCTAACTACTTTTTCATTGACAACACTAGTATTTTAAATTTAATAAAGGAAATGGGGTTACTTTGTTAAACCCAAAGACACCCCCCCCCCCCACAATTTTTCCTCACTCCTGATAACTTCTCCTGTAATTCGTCCTCTGTTCATGAGTTCGTGTATGCATTTTTATTTCTGGCTAATGTAAATCTCATGTTAATGATCAAGCCTGTATTTTTTTTTAAAATAATTTCCCATTTGCCGAGAAAGGTCTTAACCCTGTATTTTATGCCGTGTTGCCGACATTTTATTACTTTAACGTTTGATGAGTTGGACGTTAACACCTTGAACGTTTACTTTTTGTCAGGCCCAGCAGTCGTTATAGACGATACCAACTTTGCGAATAACTGGGTGTGAAAAATCGATACCAACCAATCCCTCTTTAAAAACGTCTATTTTAAAACATAAATAGAAATAATAAGTATGGATAAATATATTAGATACATATTTAATAATGTGTTGATCGAAACAGACTTCATAAGAAGAAAAAAAAACATGATTAGGCCTAAACGATACGTGTTTATTATTATTGAGAAAAAAAAACCCCAAAAAAAAAACCCATGACATTGTTGAGTATCGTGTTAGACAACTTGCTAGACGCGGATGTAGACGTAATCGGCGAAGACGCCCAGAGATTTGATCTCGCGTCTTATTATGTTTTCTCGTTGGAATGAAAATGTCAAACAGGCGCCGAACAATCCTTTCAGTGGGTGGAGGACGAAAGGGAATGTTCGTCTTGTAACTGTAGAAAGTCAAGCCCCTATAGAGACGTGTCTGTTTGTAATAGCTGTCATCTAATTTGAGCAAGACATTGTATTTTTTTACCTCGACAGATGGTTCGGTATTTGAGGCTGAGTTTTTAAATTTATTTTTAATTTTTAAGGCTGTTTTGTAGTGTATCGTTATAGTGATAGAGTACCAAAACTATTTTTCCTGAATATTATCATTGCTTTTAAACTCATCCGTATCATTGACAGTAACTTTTCACTACGAGTATATCGTTTATTTCCATTTCCGGTCTCAGTTTATTTCCATACAAATAATTCTGACAAGTTAAAATTCCATTCCTGACAACCACTCACAGCTGCGTAGGCCTAGGCCCTCGCATGGACCGACCGCTGGTTCTTTCTCGTAAACTCACTCGCGGTTTTCTGCTGCTTACAACACTCAAGGGGACAAAACCCGAATAATATTATCTCCCTTTCTCCCAAACTTCATGCTTTTAACGTTGAATATGTTAATTTTATTAACAGTGTAAGAATATTAAGACGCGACAACGGTGTTATTAATTTAATACTAATACCTCATAATTAGTAATTATACTAAAAGTTATGCTCGTTGTAAAGTCTGTAGGAAAATTCCTGTTTTCCTTGGCTTATAATAAAAAATCGATTTTAAGAAAATTTAATTATCCCCAAAATAGGAAAAACAAAACATTTTCCGACGGCCGACATTTTTTAGTGAGCTTTCGCACAGCTTTACAGGGGAGTTAATCAAATTAATTTCCATTCTGTTTGGCAAGGGAAATGTGTTGTTGTTTTTACAAACCTGATTTTTGTTTATGTGGAATAATAAGATCACATCGAACAAACAATATCTTTTATAATTTTTTTCCATTGAATATTTTGTAGACGTAAATAGATTCTGGGGTTTTCCCGGATTTCTAAAACGATTGTGAGCTTCAGAATTTTAATTTTTTAACCGATTATTTGATTTTTTTATTTAATAAATTAGACACATTATTGTTCTAACTTATAAACATAGCGTAGCTTAAACATGCTTTTGTAAGAAAAACAAAGGGGAATAAGCAAGAACAATGTCGGTTAAACAATAAGCTGATTACTCTAAAATATTGAATTAAATTTTAACGAATAGGTTTTGTTTGTGAAACATGTATTCTACAAAATAAAACCCGAGTGTAGGCCTATATATATTCTTTAAAAAATTGACATGCAACTTCTAACGCAATCCCCTTGTCTATACTCATATGGAGCTTGTCCCTTATGTAAACATGTACTCATCAAAGGTCGAGGAGAGAGAACGAGGGCGGCCTGTGTCGCGAGTTTATATGAGCCTTATGATTCTAATAAAAAGAAAGTGCTGCGTTTTTTTAGGGGGGTGGGGCACCCAAACTTTCGTCATGGGGGCTGTAAATTGCATTGCGTCTGCGAGTCTGTGCCCTCGCGTCATGGATTCCACGAGGCTGTTACCGGCAGTTGTCTCGAGGCTGATAAAACGTGTTTGCCTAGGATGGACCGTGATCATCGTCTGCGCCTGGGCCGACGTGCAAGAATCATTAGCATACACGTCGGCGCTTGACCAATTAACATAAATTTCAGTGCCCCTGTAGCAGATGTAATCAGATGAATGGCCGCTTTATTGCCGGACGGATGTGAAAAAAATTAATGGCGTTTGTGATTTAAGGCTGGCTCCGACACGGCAAGGGCTTTAACTCGTTCAACGTTATCAACGTATTGAAAGGGAGATAAGAAGGTCAGCTACAAAAGCAATTTTCTTTTAATAAATTAGCCACTCGAAAGTGTATTTCTACGAGTCACGCGAGTGATGGCATTACAAGGACACACTCGTGAAGATGCGAGACCGGGATTGTAGGCGAGAGCTGAACTGCTGAACTCGAGTCTGAGTGTTGTCTGTTGTATTCAAAGTTATGAATGGTCAGCGGGGAGTGGGGGCGACACTGTAATTTTACTCACGGTACAACAGCCTATTTGTAGATAATTTTTCTTGGTGTTTCTGTCAGTGCTTTAATACTACTCATGTCGAAACATCTAAGTGAAGTTCCCTTGTCGAACCTGGCGGTCAATGGGGTGAGTGAAATCTAAGTCATCTATTACTGTGACCCCAGCATATAAAGGGATAGTGTGGTCAGCACAATGCCCAGCGGCCTTTACTTTTCCTAACGTGAGTTACGTACCCATTAGTTGAGTGGACGTAGGGATGTTCTTCTCACTTGAACCCGAATTCGAACTCGAGACCTTCTCGTAAGCAGTCTAGCTCTCTACTGCTATGCTCAATAGTTACCATATTATTTTGCCATGCATTACATTACAAAATATTGTATGTTAGGCATAATTTGTTATAGCTTCCCCCCCCCCCCCTTAGTTCTCATAGAAGTAGCTTGCTTCGTCTTCCTTGGAAAGACGACAAACCTTTATGCGATTGTATAAGGCAGTAACCGTTACTGTCAACAACACAGTCATGGTATATCACTAACCCTTATTTTTTAAATAATAAAAGTTGTTGTTGTATAGTTGGTATGAACGGAATGCTGTACCTCCTATTTATAAAAACACACTGTAGCAACGTTTGTATATGAATGGAAATCACTCGGCTCATACTACGCCTGATGTATTACACAATACTCGTTTCTGATGTGTAATTTAGATTACGCGTACCATAAAAACGGCACCGAGGATTTCTCGCACCAAACAGCACCGTATTGACTGTCAATGTTTGTTAAAACAACACGGCCCCATAAAAAAGTACGATTGTGAACTCGACTTCGCCTCGTGCAGATCTAACGTTATTAAATGTTGCTACCGAATGTGCGGAAACACAAACAAAAGTCTCCAGTCTCTGATTACACCCCGGTGTTCACGAGTTGATTTATGACGCTGTGTTACGTTAGATGAACCCAATGTGCGCCCCGGCTCAACCAGTTGGAGCTTTGTCTTTCGGGGGTGGTGGGGGTTTCAATTAAAATAGCTATCCCCCTTATCTGT